ATTTTTAGAAATTCCTTTTCCTTGCTGAGAAACTTCCTATTTTCTAAATCAGAGGCGAAAAACTCGAAATTCTCCTCGTATTTCTCAATTTTCTCCAACAGAACTCAACTTCTATGGAATAAAAATATCATATTTGGAATCAGGACCAAACGACGAATCGATTGATATGTATCTTTATTCTATCCAAGTACTTTAGTTTTTTTCGAATTTTTACGTTGAAAGATCACGAGATTTTCATCAAAAAATAAAAATGAACTAAAAATTTCGAAATACACATCAGTCGATTCGTCGTTTGGTCCTGATTCCAAATATTATATTTTTATTTTTGTTTAATATAATAATCCATTAGAGCACAAGCTTTCTTGCATATGGATTCATTTATTAAATGGAGTGTTTCAAAATCGGCTTTTTTAAACTTCTTCACATTTTCTTCAATTTCATGTCGAATATCTTTTGAAAATGTATCATAACCGAGTTTTTTCCACGTTTTCAAATCATACTGGCAATTTTCAAGATATGAAGAGCTGCAGCCAAACGCTGTACCTGTACTTTCGATTTTGAATGTATTGTTGCTATAAAGGAATCATACTCCAGAGAATGTTTAACAATATCTGTATAAATATTAAATTTTTCGTTCATAATTTGTAGCCGAAATACAATACGGTTTGCTGGTGGACCATCATGGAAACAATATATCATGTATAATAAATGTGTTAATGACGGTATTTTTTTATCAATAGCAGCGATATCTTATCGATGGTGTTGGGCAAGAAATCAAAAATCTGCTAATAAATCCGTCTCCTTGCATATCACTTCTAATACCGTTAGGCAATTCATCCGGATGACCAGCACCACCAATATTTAAAAGTGGATTTTGAACACTGGTACTATTATCTAGTGTTTGATGCCGAATGTATCGAAGAGTGTTGTACAATTGATTTATTAAACTGCGGTCATATGATGCCCCACCTGTCGCTTTATACAAACCAAGTGAAGCAAAGAACGTGCTGATTTCATCCAAAAGCTGTAGCAGAAGTAGGCCGACTCTTTGCATTCCACTGAAAAGTGATTCAATAGTAGCTGAATTATTCACACGTGAATCTTCGAGCTTATTTCCTAATACCATATCAATGTCTTGACACGTATCACGTAATAAATCAACAGTTTTTGACTTATTTGCGCCAGCGTACCCAACAATAGCCGTCTAAAAAATATATTACTAACCATATTTCCAACACAAAGAATTTGTGCATAATTAGCAAAATGAGCCACTGTGGGCAATAAAAGAGTAAAAAGATATCCTTTTGCTAATTGAAATGAATCACAAACATTGTTT